AGAGCGTGATACAAAGAGGTTCATAGAGATTTCCGGCTGAGCTACCGTGGGAGAGCCATGCTTCGGCGCGAATGGACCGGCTCGACCGGAGTGATACCACGGCCTCATAGAAAACCGGTGTTAAGCAATTCTTTCGTTGCCTTTCACTGAGTGAGTGAGGTTACCGGAGCCCAAATCCCCCCTCCCGCTGACTCGAGCGGGAGAGACTCCAGCAATGCACTTGTGACTTTTGAGTTGAAGGTGTCCATGGGCGGCGGTAGTTGCTTACCATCGGGTGACCCGTCTGCTGAACAAACCTCAATTAAGGTATGTGTATATGCGGTAAAACAGTCATCGATAACACTTGGATAATTAACACGATACTTTTTGCCCCGCACAAGCAATTTATTTATTCACTAACTTTTGCTCGCGTCTCCGCCCGCGTTTATGTCGGTTTTCGCGGCAAAACTAGCCTATGTTCATCGCTGATAACGTAGCTTTCCATTGGGGAAGATTTTTTAAAATCGGTTAGTGGTTTAGGCGTGAAAGCGTAATAAACAAAGTCACTAATATACTAGCTGCGCCCGCGTGTATATCGATTTTTGCAGTAAAAAGCCTTAGTAGGTAGCTTATGTCCTTTCTCAAAAATCAAACTATCGCCATACCTAACTTCACCTCAATCGGTTCAGCAGTTATTGATTCCTTGTACAAACTTCCACCCCACTTTTGACCCGCTTAAAGGATGATTTCTGGGATAAAAACTATGACATGTCCTTTCCCGGGATTCAAACTATCTCTATACCCAATTAAATCTAAATCAGCTCAGCGGTTTATACATAAAGAGGTAACAGAAAGACAGACAGACAGACACACTTTCGCATTCATAGTATTAGTATGGATATGGATAATTATGGAAGTATGGATTTCTTTAAGAAAGATAACTCCCGCACTAGGAATAAATCCTGTGTCGCGGGGGACTTTACAGACATACATGAAACGGACACAAAAAACACCCTTATTAAATATAAGATGGGGTAAACACAGCAGACGTGTCACTTGATAGTATGTGAGTACCGCCGCCCAGTAAGGCCTACAACTCAAAAGTCATAAGTGCCAGCCTTTGACGTGGAAGCACGCACCTTTCTTGAAGGTGGATCGTATCGGTCGGGTAATACCTCAGGAATTAATTTGTTAAACGGGTTAGTTGTGTGATGCAAAAGTTTTTCTTTAAAAGTGCACTGGAGTGATGGGAATTGAAGTAAAGACCTCTAGAACTCTTGATATATAAAAACGCTGTAGTGTTTTATTATTCTAGAAGTCAAGTCATTAAGATTCGTGTGCAAATAAAACATCTGTACAGAGGTCAATGTCAGTAATGAAAGAAGTATTCCCGTCTTTGTTCAAATATCGACTTTATTTTCAGTACGATTTAAAGTCTAATTTCACATATCTTGTTTTTAAGTTCAATACTCTGTATTGTAATATTGGAGTATAAGGGATAGCGTGTACTGGCTAGTTTTAACGTTGTAACTGTTATGTTTATCAACAGCCTTTAACAGTCCACTGCTGGACATATGGTTCTCCTTAGAAATGAGGGTTTTGGCCTACTATACCACGCTGGCCAGACAGGTTGGTATAGGGTTTGTGTCAAGTTTTCCTTCTCTTTGCAGTATTGTTGTCCTGCGTAGTTTGCTCCCTTAGTCGCCTCTTAACTGTATACTATGTGTTCTTAACTGTTATGTTACTTATATCTATGCAAATAAATAAAATTTAAGTGTCTTTTTGTAATGTCAAAATATTAGGTTCTTTTCATGCTCAAACCTACGTCTAAAAACCAGTTTAAATATTTTTGCCGGTCTGTTGGTTCCAGGATTACCTCCACATATATCTCACACAGGGCCGTCTGATCCCAAACTAGGCAGAGCCTGTATTATGGTAACTATACTGCTGATAAACATACTTGTATATTTCTGAATACATGTCATACTTATTACACAGCAGTGGACTGCGATAGGCTGATGAAAAAAAGAGGGTACTCCTTCTTCGAAGGCCGACAACGCGCTTGTCACTCCTGAGTTGCAGGCGTTAATGGGCGGCGGTAGTCGCTCTCCATCTGGTGGACCCGTCTGATCGTTTGCCCCCTCGTCCATAAAAAAGATAAATTACAACGAGAAAAATAATATTTAATCGTGCTCAGCATTTGTTCTGGGTAGAGATCGAACCCACGACCTCTGTCCTAATAGTCATGGTCACAAAGCACTAAGCCGACAGACCCATGCATATACATATATTTTCGAGTAACAATATTGCAGAAAAACAACAACAATTATTTAAAAATCGAAAATTTATTACAGACTAGCTGACACGCGCAACTTCGTCTGCGTCTCTCAATAGTAATAAATTTTCTCCGTTTTTGAAACATTCTTCATTGGTGCTCCGCTCCTATTGGTCTTAGCGTGATGATATATAGCCTATAGCCTTCCTCGATAAATGGGCTATCTAACACTGAAAGAATTTTTCAAATCAAACCAGTAGTTCCTGAGATTAGCGCGTTCAAACAAACAGACAAACTCTTCAGCTTTTTAATATTAGTATAGATTTTTTAAAGGCAAAGGTTAAAATGGTAAATACCTTCTTTCAATGCAAATCATTAAGGCCAGCGTGGTATAGTGGGCCATAACCTCCTTTCTGAGGAGAGGCCTATGTCCAACAGTGAACTAGTAAAGGCCGTTAATGATGATGAATACAAATCTATATCTGTATAAAAGAAGAAACTCATAGAATGATTCACTAACTGATCGATCAATGCACAGCCGCACGCGCAGCACAAGTTCCTTACGTACATTAAGGACGTACGTAAAGAAGGATTTATAAAAAAATCATTCCTAAGGGTCCACAATTACAGTTGTAAATTTCTCCAAAAATTCTCTAAAATTCTCTAAAAAGAGACAACATGAAACAGACACAAAGTACACCCAGACTCAGAACAACAATTTGTGGATCACACAAAGTGTTGTCCCATGTAGGGTTTGAACCCACAACACTCGGCGTAATAGGAAACGGCGTGGCGACCGCTTAAACCACTACGCCATCCGTGCAGTCAATTTATTTAATTTATATGAAACTTGGTTATTTTTTGATATGTAGAAGCGTTTTCAAACTCACAGTAAATACTTCTTTATATAAGTAATTATAATAATAACTTCACACATCTCACACATGGCCGTTTAATTCCAAACTAGTCAGAGCCTGTGCTATGGTCACCAGACTGCTGATAAACATACTTATATATTTCTAAATCCATACATATGTCAATACATATGTCAATCATCGTGCTCATCACACAATTATTTGTAATGGGTGGGAATCGAACCCATGACCTCCGGCTTAGTAGTCAGGGTCACTAACCACCAGACCAACAGGCCCGTCAAACAGTAATAAGAAACGTTGTTACTAATGTTTTAAAACTACCCTCAAAAAGGATTTTTTTAACTTTTGGATTGCAATCTTTCAGTATAATTATATTACCTATCAAAAATAATATTAATTAGACACCTATTTTTTTTTAACTTTTCAAAACTTTAGTATGTTTGTCACTTAATCACGCCAAAACGGCTTTCTGGATCTGGACGGGATTTGTCACATAGATAGATAGTAGCACAGAGGCTACTATATAGATATCCCGGGCATAATTTATTGACAAAATTGCGTGCCATGCCCTAGGGAATGACAAAGACCGGGATGGTTGGTGCTCCTTAGGGGAGACCTACGTTCAACAGAGGACGGCAACTATATTATGCTGTTTAATTGCAACAAAGTACGTAACGCATGTACGTACGTTTTGTATTTATCCCACTTAATTTGTTTCAGTTACGAAACTTCTGTATTTATTATACGTTACTCATAAACGCATAAAATGTTTACCGGTGTACTGGATAAAAATACGCTTTAAACTTTTTATTAAAATAATACATTACTTTTTATGGTTGCCATTTTTGATAATACATACGTTTTAAAATTAATATTTTTATATAGTATTTATGTCACAGTTACAGTGCTACGCGTTATATACAAGTTTTGTTCTGATACCTGCATTGCTTGGTAATAATTTACTGTTTAACTACCTAGAATAAAATAGAATAGAATATGCTTTATTGTACACCAATTACAGTAAATTAGTTAAATATTACAGAGGGTTATGTACAATGGGCGGCCTTATTGCTGATAGCAATCTCTTACAGGCAACCTTTAGATGGACACATCGACAGTGCTTACCTATATACCTACTGCTTTTTGAGATTTCATCATCATCATTATCAGCCTATCGCAGTCCACTGCTGGACATAGGGCTCTCCCATTGCACGCCACTTAGATCGATTTTGGGCTTCTCGCATCCAGCTCCTACCAGCCATCTTGCGCAAATCGTCATTCCACCTGATCTGTGGGCGTCCTACACTACCTTTGCCGAGACGCTGTTTGAGATTTACCTAATGCGTTACACTGCTCGATTTACTTTCTACGAGGATATAATAAATGTGTCATTCTCATTGAATATACTTAATTTGGACTCCAAGTTTCTTTTCAATCTTAATACTATATTTCTTTTTGCCTACGTTTTAACTTTAACTTTTATATAAAATTAATTTGCTATTTTATTATCAAAACTGTCGGGGATCGCGCACCAAATTACATACTTTATTCATAAATGTTATTTCATTTTCATATGAAATAATAATTCTGACTGAGACATGGATGACTGCAAGTGTTGACGACATTGAGTTTTTTGATGATCGTTACCTGGCATTTAGATGTAATCGTGATGCCACTAGCAAGCTTGACGGTGGTGGCGTGCTAATTACTGTTCTTCACACATTACGCCCTTACGAGTCACGTTGCACTCAACGTACGTCGGCGTAGCACATGTTGTGGTTCAGTTGTCCGCCTCATTTATGTTATATACCACCGAGCTCACACCCCGTTGTATATAAATCACGTGAAGACGTTACAGGACCTCATCAACGATGCAAGGACCGACGAACAAAGAACTCGTTGAACTGAACTGGGATGAGTTACATGATATCTCTACTGAAAGTTTGGTCGAGGTATTTTACGAGGTCCTATACGGTATTAATCATACGTTTCCTTTTGTCGACCACCGAATTCACAGTTTCTCGCTTGGTTGAAATTGAAAACCTTAAAATACGAATCGTTTTCCATCTACCGCGACCGTTTCATATCAAGTCTAACAAATGTAAAAAACTTTACATAAATTCGATTAAGGACAGTATTCCACTTAACAAAAAGCCTATACATAATGAGGTTCAAGTTGACGCTGTTTACATCAACTTACAGAAAGCTTTTGACAAGGTAGATCACAAATTGCTTCTAGACAAAATCGCCTTCGAAGGTATTCGTGGCAACTTACTACTCTGGTTCACATCTTACATTTTTAATATGACTTAAAAAGTAGTGATCAAAGGCTCTGAATCTGACTCTATAACCGTCACTTCCGGGGTGCCCCAGGGATCAATCCTGGGCCCTCTCCTTTTTTATCTTGGTTGTCAATTGTTTTACCCCCGCCTTAGTAGAGGCTGTTTTTTTTTGCAATATTTTTACACTCAACACTCAAATAAAAGTTATGAAGTATGATTTTAAGCCATAACTATGTAAAATGATGGAGAATGAAATAAAATTGCTGAAACTTAGATTCAAAGATTAATTTAGACAATGTAAATGAGCTAAATGTAAGTGGTATACAGTCTTAAAGTTTTGTCTTAGTAGTTATAAGTGAGAAATGCATTTGTAGTGAGTACTTAAAACGGTAAACCTTTAAAAGTACAACAATTAGATGTTTTGTTTATGTGTTTAATACAATAGTGAGTAAGTTGTTGTATATGGTTCCACTTATACATAAATAAAACCCAAGTGGATTATTGCCCCACCACTTAAGAAATTTTATGTTGTGTTTAGGAAATGGGTGGTATACAATAGGTAGTTATTATTTTGTCTGCAAACTACGTAGGGCAACAACACAGCAAATGACCTTTGCAAAGATGCTACATTCGCACGCGAATCTTAATGACTTGACTTCTAAAATAACGAAAGGTTATAGAGTAATTATATATCGAGAGTTCTAGAGATCTATATTATGTTTTATGCAACACCGTTTCGTGTTTACTCTTTCTTGTACTTGAAATATATTCTTGGATTTACTTGTAATATCATTATAATACATCAGCACATTACAGATGCAGAGCTCACAGTATCCCAGACTCAAAAAGTAACAATGAAGTAGTTAGGCCATAGTGCAATCTATAATAATAACGCGACATACTAATCTACTAAATAGTAATAACAGTAAGGTATGCCACCGTCCTGGGCAATCAATCAGGCATATTATTTCCGGTTGTTCTCGTCTTGCTAACGGTGAATATTTGGACATTCACAACCAAGTAGCCAGGATCGTACACCAACCTTAAACACCAACTTGTGAATCTAGAGGTGCCATACTACAGGTATGTGCCAGACCCAGCTCTCGAGAATGGTCGGGCCACGTTGTATTGGGATCGATCTATTATCACAGACAGGACTATTGTTGCTAATAAGCTTGATGTTGTAGTTATAGATCGATTAGAGCATCGCGCAATGATTGTTGATATCGCAGTTCCTCATGAAGAGAATCTTTTGAAAGTTGAAAGTTAAAAGGAGTTGCTCATACTTATTTAAAAAGATAACCGCTTTTACTTTGGTATGTGTTTTGGAGTTGCTTAACGAGCATCGGAATGAACAGGGCCTCTTTTGTGATACACTTTGTGTGATCCACAAATTGTATTATTATCTGATCTACCGAAGTCAAATACGTCTGGGCGTAATTTATTTACAATACGTTTCTGTTTAGAAATATATAAGTATGTTTATCAGTTGTCTGTTGATCCTCACTATATTGGTTAGGCTACACAATGGCTGGAGCCGACTCAATACTATGGTCCTTTCTTCAAAAGGCCAACTCAGACCCTATTCTCTATCACATAATTCTTTAACATTGTAGACGGACTTTAAAGAAAAAGTCGTCCGTAGACATCTCAAGCCGTTTATATTACTATATGTATTAGGATCATAGGTCTGGAGTAAATTTTGTATCTATTCATTTTCTAGGGGGACTTCAGACGGGGGTTGTGCGGTCCATGGCCCCTTACGGGTGCCCAGTATGGGCAGGGGGCCCTGAAGGCCAGCAACGTCTGTCAACGTCTACGACGACCGCAGCGAGTGCTGGCCATCAGAATCATAAGGGGGTACCGCACGATCTCCTTTGAGGTAGCGAGTCTCCTGGCCGGAACTCCACCGTGGGACCTGGAGGCGAGAGCCCTTGCAGCTCTGTATCAGTGGCGCAAGGAGGCGCGATAGTTGGGTCGGTGTCCTGAGATTCGAGAAATAGATGACCGGAAATCCCAACTCCGCCAGGTCATAGGGGAGTGGAGGGAACGACTCGGGCAACCGAGCGCCGGGCACGCCGTCATCGCCCGTAAGACCCGTTATGGAGGATTGGCTCGAGATCCGTTACGGGACCCTCTCATACCGACTGACGCACGTGATCACTGGGAAAGGATGTTTCGGGGATCACCTGTGTCTGATCCGCAGTCCAGATCCTGAGTGCCACCACTGCGGTGGCCGGACCGTGGACACGGCTCTCCATACGCTGGCAGAATGCCCGGCGTGGGTTGAGCAGAGGCGAGACCTGGTTACCCGGCTATTAGTACCCGAGACGGCGTGCGGTTTTAGTCGGTTCGAGTCCGACATGCCACCGACAGGTGGTATCCGAGGGGATTCCCGCACGGAAAAAAAAAGGGGGACTTCAGACGTCTGTTGAAGTCTCGCATCAGTGAATACATCCAATCAGTTGAGAAACAACTATTTGGGGGTCATCCATATATTACGTCACATGGGGGGGAGGTGTCCTACAACATACATAAATCTAACATATCCAAGTATTAAAACGCGAAATTAAGTTAAGTATTATTAACTGTAACCTTAAAAATGTTACCAATCGGCGCTGCTATTTTTATTAAATAATTTCTAAATATGTGACGCACACTACGGAGAGCGGGAGTCTCACAAATGGGAACAGCTGTGACAAAGATAGGGAGGGGGGTCATTACAGCTGTGATAAAGACCATGAATCGTGTGACGTCATTTAGGAATGGTCTTACTTGTAATTTTAACAACCTATTAAACATAACATTCGACGACCGAATGGCGTAGTGGTTTGTGTAACGGACCGCTATTCCAAAGGTCGCGGGTTCGATTCCCGCTCAAGTCACATTTGTGTGCATGAACATTCAATGTTTGATTTGGTCTGGGTGTTTCTATGTATAATATGTATGTATTTACAAAAAAAAACTATATATGTATTTATATCAGTTGTCTAGTACCCATAGTACAAGCTCTGCTTAGTTTGGGACTTGATGGCGTTGTGTCAATGTGGTAGAATATTATAAAAATATTTAGTTATATATGTAGAAAGAAGCCTAAGGAATTATCTAGTCAGATATAAAACCGATAGTCTGCTGGTCCAGTAGTTAGGGATCGTGACTGCTAAGCCAGTTCGATTTCCACCCAGGTCTTATATTGTGTGATAAGCACGATCACTTATTCTGTATCACAGGCCTCTCCTTAAAAAGGAGGTTTTGGCCTACTATACCACGCCACTATATGACACCTGGTGTCGTGCGTGTCGCCGTTCCTTATGAAGAGAATTGTTTGAAAGTTTAAAAAGAAAAACAAATTAAATATTTGGATTTATCTTACGAGATTGTCGATATGTTTAATGTGGATTCGGAGATCATTGTTCCGATAGTCGTATCTGCTCACGGATTGATAGCCAAGAGCCTCGACCAACACCTTAAGAAGCTCACATTAGGCAGCTGGATCAAGGGTCTGATGCAGAACCCAGTTCTCCTTGACACGGCTCGTATGGCTAGAAGGTTCCTGTCTTTGGAGTCCTAACCACCGGTGTCTTGGTCCCTGTACCCGATGTCGGTGGTCTACTATTTTTTATATTTTTAAATGTATTTTGTTTTTCTTTTGTAATATATTTAAAAACTAGCTGACCCGCGCAACTTCGTCTGCGTCTCTCAATGGTAATAAATTTTCTCCGTTTTTCAAACATTCTTCATTGGTGCTCCGCTCCTATTGCTCTTAGCGTGATGATATATAGCCTATAGCCTTCCTCGATAAATGGGCTATCTAACACTGAAAGAATTTTTCAAATCGGACCAGTAGTTCCTGAGATTAGCTCGTTCAAACAAACAAACTCTTCAGCTTTATAATATTAGTATAGATGTAATCAATATGTATAGATAATTTAATAAAGAGAATAATAATATTTACACTTCTCACACACGAGAGTCTGATCCCAAACTAGGCAGAGCACGACTCCCGGCTTAGCAGTCAGGGCCAGTAACCACTAGACCAACAGGCCCTCATATAGTGATGTTACGGCACTCTTGACTTTAATTTCCATCGCTTGTATAATTTTCAAAACACTACTTTTGAAGGAACTCTTTGCCTCACACAACTAACCTGTGGAACAAATTAATACCATTTTTTTTTCCTGTGCGGAAATCCCCTCGGATATCATTCACCGGAGTGATTATGTCGGACTCGAACCGACCAAAACCCGCACGCAGTCTCGGGTACTAGTAGCCGGGGAACCAGGTGTACCCTAGAAAGGAAATCCCTGGTAGCCCGTCGAACCTCGGGCCATCCACGGCGTGTAGATGGCCCTGGAACAAATTAATACCTGCGGTATTTCCGAACCGATATGATGTTCAAATCTTATGACTTTAAACTTGCAGGTATTCATGGGCGGCGGTAGTCACTTACTATAAGATGACACGTCTCCTGCTGCTTCCCAAATATTATAACAAAAAAATATATTTGATAACAGGTAAAATTTTGTTTTTTTCGATTCGAAAAGTTCCGACATGAATATATATCTATGTTGTACGTATATACACAATATATGTTTATGCAAACGGGGCCAATATATGTATATACTTAAAAACAGAGGTGTCGGTAACGGTATCAGTGTAGCGAGTTCAATGGTTTTTTCCCATCTCAAAACATACATTTTTTTGTTTTACTAACTTTTAAACTTTCGCGTTCCATGATAATTAATATTATTTAACGGGAATTAACGCGATCTCTTATTTTTTGTTTGTTGTTCAAAAATGCCCAACGTGCCTAAAAAAGTTTACACTTCATAAAGATCAAATACTTATTCAATTAAGTGAGCTTAGTTCAGGAAAAAAACTACCACTGTAAGTTAAACAATCACAACACTGACCTATTATTAAGTGGTGCGACTTAATAATAAGACAATGCTGTGATTGTTTCACAACTTGATATCTTATAAAGAAATTTATACAAAACTGATCTCAATAAAAATAAAATCCTCTAATAAAAAGTTTCGTTTTACAGTCTTAATGAGGAGTTCGCTTCACAAATTACGCTCAAGGAAGCTGAGATCTTTAACCTTAATTGAAGTGCTATTAGAAGCTTAAAATTTAATAAAATTATTTTTTGAAATTTCTTGACGTTTTGGCCAGGTTTTGATCGTGGGAGAGCCATATTTTGCCGCTAATGAACCGGTTACACTAGAGTGATTTTAACGGTTTCACAGAAAACCGGTGTTAAAAAATTTTTCGTTTTTTTTTACCGAGTGAGTGACATTACTGGGGTGCCTCCACCTCCTTCATTCCCTGAGGCACTCGAAGAGTGGCAGTAAACCTGTCCTCTTGAGATCCAGGCACCTATACTATGATGCTACGTTCACACCCTTGCCGAGACTTGGTAAAAGGTTTGAATGCCATTTAGTGTTAGTGTGTGCCGAACAGGCAAACATCGCAGACTTTGAAGTTGAGCCAGCTATTGAAATATTTTATTTAAAATATAAACAAGTACAACAAACATGCGCCAATATATAAATACGATGCAAGCGCTTACCGCAAGGTGCTTTTAAATGATATTTATTTCTGTAAGTAAATCCTTTCAGATATTACAAGAAGTCGGATTTTACAGCTAGAAGGAGCAGACATTTCCTAAGACTCACTCTGGTAAGAAATACCGAACAAACAACAGAGGTGTATTTTTTCAGTCCGTAAACAAAGTTAAAAAAACTGTGGCAATACAATATAAGGTCTGGGTAGGCCTTTTAAAGAAAGGACCATAGTTTTGAGTCGGCCTGTCCATACAGACGGCATACAGCCATCGTGTAGCTTAACCAATATTGGTCAAGATCAACGACACGAAGCACGATACTTCCGCCAGCAGGACATTTGGGTTGGCCGTGGAAACACTCAAAACCACCAGAAAATTACAAAAAATATGAATTAACATTACAAGCCCACACTATACTCCCATTTACAAACTTACACAAAATGAAACAAAATTCAATAACTAATAATAAATTCAAATTCAACGAAAAATAAACAAATTGAAAACAAACCCAATAAGAAATACACCAAAAAATAAATACATTCAATGACCATCACTCTCAAACATAACAACAATGACAGGAACGTAAATGTGGGAGTGAGCAGCATCAATCCCAAGCAAAGTCATCTAAACAATCTGGAATCGTGTAGTAAGCCTTTTGACATAGTTTTAGTTTTACTAAAGACTTAAATTTGTTAATATTTAATTCATGGAATTCGCATCCATGAATGACATGACATCGAAAAGACTTGCTTGCTTACGTTTACTGTGGTTTGTAATACGAGTTTATCTCTATTTCTAGTGTTTATTTTATGAATATCGCTAAACTTTGTGAATAAATGAATATATTTCTTTACATACACTAAATTTGCATATATGTATTGAGATGCGACTGTCATGATACCAATTTCTTTAAACTTATCCCTCAGTGACTGTCTATAACTGAGATTATAAATTACGCGAATAGCACTCTTTTGCAACACAAAGATACTTTGAATGTCAGCAGTATTTCCCCACAACAAAATACCGTATGACATTACACTATGATCTGTGATATGTGTTTAAAAACCGACACCAGCTCAGATTGAACACCCCATTTACACGCCTGTGGACGCTTGTTGAAATATTAACGTTGCATTAGCTTTTCTTCCAGACCATGCCAAGTGCTTCTTTTGTTTTATTTTGAGCAATAATATTTGGTACGCGAGCAAACGTGTCACCTAACAGTCAGTGACTACCACCGCCCATAAAGATGTGCAACTCAAAAATCATAAATGCCTTTGACGTGGAAGCACACTCCTTTTTGAAGATTTGAACATCGTCCAGAAATACAGCAGGTATTAATTTGTTCTACGGGTTAGTTGTGTGAGGCAAAAACTTCCTATAAAAGCGCAAAGTAGTGCTTTCCCAATTATACGAGTACTGGGAATTAGAGTCTAGAGTGTAACATCACTATTTATATGTCGCATCACTATTAAATATTGCACTATGGCCCAACTAGTTCATTGTTACTTTGTCTGTGAGTCTGTGATACTGTGAGCTCTGCATCTGTAATGTATTATTACAACATTACAAGTAAATCCAAAAAGATATTTCATTCTTAAGAAGATTTACTAAGCACGACACGGTGTCGTCCGAGTATAAAAACATAATAATGAATTCTAGAACTCTCGAAATATCATTACTCTGTAACCTTTTATTATTTTAGAAGTCAACTCATTAAGATTCGCGTGCGCACATAACATCTCTGCAAAGGGTTACGTCGATAACAAAAGAATTATTCCCGTCTTTCTTTAAATATCCACTTTATTTGTACGAGTTAAAGTCTAATTTGACACGTTTCGGTTGAGAGTTCAATACTCCTTGTATTGTAATATTGCCATGTAAGGGATAGCGTGCACTGGCTAATTTTAACGTCGTAACTATTGTGTTACTTACATTAAGTATATGTTAGGAGAAGCTCTTATTTAACGGTAGTCTCTTTTACTCTAACTGCATCCTGTATTTCGCCTTACGACGCCATTCCCCCACGGGAATTTTAGCTTTACTTTTAGCACAATACAATAATATTATGACTATTTATCAAAAAAATATGTGAGAGGTTCTTTTTATGTGTACGTTCGTCTGTGTGTGTGTGTGTGTGTGCGTGTGTGTGTGTGTGAGTGTAAAAGGAGGTGTGAATATGTTCGTTACCTACGTTCTACTAGATTTTGTGTATCTCTTCCGAAATTCGAATTTTGTTGTGACTTTTACACAACAACTTTTATATATCATCATCATCATCACATCAACAGCCTTTAATAGTCCACTGCAGGACATAGGCCTCTCCTTAGAAAGGAGGTTTTGGCTCCTTTTATATATACTGAAACAGAAACGTAATTCAATGCCATCTAACGAAGACATACCGAACTACGGAGTTACTACTAATCCTGTATCGCGTAATGAAAGTTTCCACGCTGATTAGTATATTTGTTACCGCTAATGTACGTAAATTAGTAAGAATGCGCCTTTATTTTATTAATCTGCAGTTTACCTTGTTAAATCTGTTAGCGTGAAAAAAATTGTCTTAGTTCTTACATTTCCTGCGATTTTTTTACTTTTTTTTATGGAATTAAGGGCACACAAGCAGACGAACCACCTCATGGAAAGCGACTACCGGGAGTCACAAGCACGTTGCCAGCCTTTGAGGAAGGAGTACGCTCTTTTCTTGAAGGTTTGAAGGTCGTATCGGTCTGGAAATACCGCAGCCGAATTTGTTCCACAGATTAGTAGTGCGAGGCAGAAGGCATTTCAGAGTAGTCTTAAAAAGCGCACAGTGGTGGAGCGCCAATTATCCAAGTGGTGCGAATGAAAATTAGTTAGGCATGAAACTTATTATACAATAAACTGCGATTATTATTACTGATTTTCTAAAATAGTTACTTACTTACCACTTTAATGTTATAAACAATTATTATTTAAATACAGTATGTCTAAAACACAGTTCATCAATCTTTAAACACGGCAGTGATTGATCATTGTTATCGAAGTAAACCTCCCGAGATAACTCTGACAGATGACGTATTACATAAACTTAAACTTACATAGTGACACAGAAAAGTGGGGTCAAAAAAATACATACACATTTTAGGGTTATGTTGCAGCCCATAAGTAAAAGCCAATTTAAAACTGTAATATATTTCTAAAACATAAAACTATAAAAACGTAAGAGGAGCGGCGCTACTCTGCAACATTAACTCTAAATTGACTGTTCACTCTTTTGTCTCATCCAATTCAACCAATTTTATTATACAAAAGCTCAAATGGAAGAGCGAATGCTAAGAAGGGTTATTATACCACAACGAATTGTGTATCTGTCTGTGAGGTGACGGACTAAAAATACGGAGTGCCGCTATTCATCTCGTACACAACAGCAAAGAGAAGGAAAACTTGGCACAAACCCGATACCAACCCTCTGGCCAGTGTAGTTTGGTAGGCCAAATGGCCCTTCAAAGGAAAGATCTATCTCCAGCAGTGGACTATTAAAGTGTGTGATGTGATGTGAATTGTGTATCTTAATGAAAAAATTGTTAAAACAAAGAATATATATTCTCCAAAAAAATCATCTATTTCGCACAATTCATTCTGATCTGAAACTAGTCGGCACCGGTGCTATGGTCAACAGACTACTCATAAACATACTTAAATCACTCTAAATATAAAACAAATGATCGTGCTCATCACACAATTATTTGTCCTGGATGGGAATGGAACACATGACCTCCGACTCACCTGTCAGGGACACTTCCGACTAGACAAACAAGCCTATCAAAAATATCGTACCTACTAGTAACAGTATTTTGTTACCGCCAGTTCAGTGTATGAAAGCCCTAATCTTAGATAATGCGCAGACGCATATGAAATTTAAATTTATTATTCAGTGTTTACATAAATACACTGACAAACAATAAATAATTTTAATAGTTCTTAGTTAACGCCTGGAAGTGAAAACAGTTTGAAAACGGTAAATATTTTGTTTTTCTTGTCACACTAAAGCTAGTAAGTAATTATCTTTTAAGTAGTAATACTTTTTTTTTTAATTTATGTTTTTAGTAATTTAAAAAATACACTAAAAAACAAATGAAAATAATAAAAAAAAACACAAATATACTAAATAAAATGAAATATATTTTCTTATAAATAAGGTATTAGAAGGAGTTTTTATATTTTAAAGATAATCGCTTTGACTTTGGTATGTGTTTTGGAGTTGCTCAACGAGCAACTGAATGAACAAGGCTCCTTTAGCAACTATCAGGCGTGTCTTCAACTTAACTCTCAGATATAGTGTTAGTCACACCGAGCATATCGCCAAACAGGCACTTTATTGGAACCCGAAAGGGAAACGAAAGCGTAGCCGCTCAAATCAAACTTGGCGGCGCGCTATCACAGACGAGGTAAAGAGAATTGGCAAGACGTGGAGTGAGCTCAAGTGCGAAGCTCGGGTCCGAACGCGATATAAGGCTACTGTGGACGCCCTCTGCCTCATCTCGGGGACTTAGGATAGGATAGGAGGACTTAGGATAGGAGGATAGGAAGTCAAGTTATAGTCACAAACCGCCACACCCTCTTATGTGGACTGCACGGATGGCGTAGTGGTTTAAGAGGTCGCCACGCCGCTTCCCACTGCGCCGAGTGTTTCAAATCCCACATGGGACGACACTTTGTGTGATCTGAATCTAGGTGTTCTTTGTGTCCGTTTCATGTATGTTTGTAAAGTTCTCCGCGACACAGGGAATTTTCCTAATGCGGAGTTGCCTTTAAAAAAAAACTTTTTACATTTCAGAAGAAAATGCCTCCACATACAGACATAGACGCTGAGTTAGCTATGAAGCATGACTTTGTAGAACAAGATGATGAAAAACCGACGAAGGCTTCGCCTCGAGAGTACAAATTGATCTTACGAAACTGTATTTATCTCTTTTATCTCCATGTAGCTGGACTGTATGGAATATACCTACTTCTTGTAGAAGCCAAGTGGAGCACTGTTTTGATAAGTGAGTATTATAATGCTTTGCTGCCAAGCTATAACCCGGTAATCCAAAAATCAAAAGACACCCCCGTTATGTGGCTCAGTGGTGCCGTTTACAAAACACGCTTTTTAATTGACGGGCTTGTTGGTCTAGTGGTTAGTGACCCTGACGCTAAAGCTGCTGCTGGAGCTCGTGGGTTCGATTCCCACCCACATATATTTGTGTGATTTTTTTTTTTCTATGTCTGGGTGTAATTTAATATATATTTATATTAAAATGGGTATACAGGAAGTAGGGAACATCGTAACGAATACGGAAATAGTGTATTCAGACCATGATTCTTCAGACCATGAGTTAAAAATCATTGGAATTTTCTGCCGGAAAATTCATTTTTTTTAAATATAACTTTCCATTTTTTTGGTTAAAAATGATATGACAATGAGTAAACAAAACATTTTACGGAAGAAAAATTAATAAATACCGCATACTGTCAAAAACTGCAATGTGATTAATCAAACAGCCTAAGCGCGCGGGGCCTCCCCTCCGACCCCAACTTGTGTTAGTGTGCGTAGACTGTTTGCACGGAATACACGTGTAGTTATTACTTTAGTGCGATACCTGCATGCATAAAAAGCGACAACATAAAAACAGCGACAGCATAAAAAGTTTAACTTTCCTGCAGAAAATTCCAATGATTTTAGACTCAGAATGATAGTCTGAATACACTATTTCAGTATTCGTTACGATGTCCCTTATTCCCAATATAAGTATGATTATCAGTAGTCTGGCTACCATAGTACAGGCTCTGCCTAGTTTGGAATCAAACGGCGGTGTGAGATGTGTAAGGTAAAAAAAAAAATTGGAATGAGAGCGTGATCTCAATAACCCGGTGTCTGTGAATGTGTGAAAATGTCTGCAACAATTATATGTTGAAACGAATACAAGACGTTAGTGTGCATTGGAGATATTTCTACTCAATAATTTTAATGTTAAAAATCGCTTTTCTTATGATAAACATTATATCGATATGTCAATCTTAATTTTACCTAAGAACATATACATTGGGATGGCTTTTAAAGCAACATTCGTTACGTCAAATCAAAGTGACAGCTGTCTTTCTGCCGCACGTCACAATAGACATAGGACAAAATCACAGTGAACTGTGATTTATCATTCGATTTTTGCGTTAGGGTTGCTAGGTTAGACGCTATTTAACAATAAATCTAGTATTTTTAAATTATTATATAGGGAATAGTAGTTTACGCTCACTAGATTTACTGTTAAATAGGCGAAATAGGGTCTTAATGCATCGTCTGAAAACAGGTTATTGGCAACAACGCGTGATAGTAACCCTAACCTACGTACCAAAAAAATCGAATGATAAATCACCGTTCATTCACAGTTCACTGTGATTTTGTTCCGTCTAGACGTCACAATATGGTTGCCAAAGCATGGCTCTCCCATCAAATTATATTACTCTTCAGTCTATCTATCAGAGATGTCTTTATATCATCAAAGGTTTATCTTCAGAAAAACATAAGTATATGTATTTAACTATATATTTTTTAACGGGCTTGTTGGTGTAGTGGTCAGTGACCCTGACTACTAAGCTAGACGAATAATTTTGTGTTGAGCACGCTTACTTGTTCTGTGTCTGGGTGTAATTTATCTATAATATGTATGTATTTAGAAATCCCTACAGCCTGTTACTCTTCACGCTTAAAGTTCTTAACCGATTTAGATGAAAATTTGTATAGAGATAGTTCAAATCCCGGTAAAGGTAGTTTTTATTCCAGAAATTGTCATTTTATAGGGTGAAACTGAGGGGTGAAATGTGTGAAATGAAATAAATAATTTCATAATAGAAAACAGAAGAATGTGTAGTAACGAGAAAAAAAAATACGATCGTAATTGTTCATAAGAAAAATGTTTTCGAGGAAAACGTAGAATAAAGATTCCAAGATTAGTTTTAAATTAGTTCACCATTTGCCAACAAAGGTAAAAAATAATGAAAAAATATTTTTCTCTAGCACAGCAAATTTTCTTCCCTTCAAATTGGAACTGACAAAGTTTGTACCTGACATCTCAAATATCATTTTTTTTTCTTCAAAAATACAACGCGCGCACTAGGAACATAAATACCGTGTCGCGAGGCACTATACAAGCATTCATGAAAGGGAAACAAAAAACACCCAGACTCAACAACTATTTGCGGATCGTACAAAGTGTTGTCCCATGTGGGGATTTAACGCACGATACTCAACTCAATAGGAAGCACAGGGTGATCGCTTAAACCACTACGCCATCCGTGCAGACCGTCCATCCATTACGGCAGCTTAAGTGGAATTTTGAGGCAAAAAACATTTCTCAATCTCTAACTATTTCAGCTAGCTTCTTCCACTTGATCACTCTACTCGGAGTCACTGCAGGAGCACATAGATACTTCAGTCACAAGTCTTATAAAGCTACAATGCCTCTTCAAGTAAGTAACTTTTAAAATAGAGAGACTGATTTGATGGAATGTATGGAAAGCACAATCGTTTTCTGTGTCTGTGTGTAATTTATATATTTTCCTCCCCTTTTCCACTTTAGGAGAGGAGGAGGTTGAGGTGGGCTTTAAGTCTACTACGATATGTCTGAACATCGGTTATTTACGCGGAGCGTCTGACCTCCATAACCCAAGTACGAGGCAATATCGAAGTTTTCTAGAAAGTCTGTTGGGGGACTTTTTAAGTCTTTAACGCTGAGTGGTGCTGTGAAATCACTATTGTCGAGATAGACATTTGTCAATAAATATGGTCCTCCCGGTCCCTTGAAAATATACTAAGAGCTGTCCAAAGCAATAAATCTACTTTCAAATTTCAGATTATTCTGATGCTATTCCATAGCTTTGCATACCAGAAATCTTTAATCGGTTGGGTCCGAAATCACAGGCTCCACCACAAATACAGTGACACTGATGCCGATCCCCACAACGCTAGCCGAGGATTCTTCTACTCACATATCGGCTGGCTGATGGTGGAGCCGCACCCAGAAGTCTTGAAGAAGAGGAAACTGTTATATATGGACGATTTGTACAATAACCCTGTGGTGATGTTTCAACATAGGTAAGTTGTTCACTAATACTTTTTATGGTTTAGAGGGAGGGGGGCAAACGAGCAGATGGTTCACCTGATGGTAAGTGACTATCGTTATCAATGGATACCCGTAACCCAATAGTCAGAACTCCGCTGCCGCCCTTTGAGTCGTCTCGAGTATCAAGGGGAGTGGTTTGGACTCCGGTAAACTCTCTTACTTCCTCGGGAAAAGCAGCAAAAGAATTGCTTCGCACCGGTTTTCTGTGAGACCGTGATATCACTCAGGTCCATCCAGTACTTCATGGTAATGGCCTTTACAACCCAAAAGTCCCTGTATATCATAAAATAGAAGATGTGCAATATTTGCTAATGAATTATTACAGGAATAAAATTGCTGGATTTTTTGAGTTTGATACAGTGTCATGCGAACCCAGGACGGGTTCAAGCTATCGAAAACATGTGTCACCTGATTACAATTGGTCAGCAATTATAATGTACAGCAATTAGACTGTGATAACTGTAGTTATTTGTTTCAAGTATAAATCCTTACCCCAAAAATTGATTAAGATTAAAAAAACAATAGATAGCAGTACACATAGTGGTGGCAGATTAAGAATACGTAGTGCCACTACCCCTGTTAGTCCCGTGGGTGGTGTAAGAGCCGACTTGGGGAGCAAACCACGCATGATAACAGCACTGCAAAGAGAAGGAAAAGTTTAAACAAACCCTATACCAACTCCTCTGTCCAGCAGTAGACTATTAAAAGTTGTTGATGAAGAGCTTTTATGGCCCGTTTAAAGACTAGTATTAAACCTGGAAACTACAACTATTTAAATAAAACTGAAAGAAAGAAAGAAAGAAACACTGTTACCTATCTTTATAACAATTTACCAGCTTTTCAATAAAATCAGACTAAAAAAGCTGCTTTTAAATCGATCCAAACCGACAGTCACAGATATCAAACAGTTTTTAAAAATTTCGAATTCAAATAGTTATTGCGAAAATAGGTTATTACAATTAGTGTTAACATACGAGTAGTTTACATTAAACATTACTTTCTTCAATAACAGTTGGTAATTCCTCTTTTCAGGAACGCTTCCTGGCTTCTACACTTACTAGCCTTCATCATACCTACGGTTACGAGCTGGATGTGGGGGGAAAGCTTGTGGAATTCCTGGTTCATCAATACCTACCGTGTCATGATCACCAGTAACTTGTCGTTTGCCGGCAACAGCGTAAACCACTTGTGGGGTTGTAAGCCCTATGATAAAACGATGACGGCTGCCCAGAACATCTACTTCCTTTTCCTCACTTTGGGGGAAGGGTTTCACAATTTCCATCATGTCTTCCCATGGGATTACAGATCAGGAGAAATCGGTGGCGATAAAGTAAATATTATTACCCAGTTTATTGATATATGTGGTAAATTGGGCTTGGCTTATGATATGAAAACAGCTTCAGAAGATATGGTGAAATCGAGGATGCTAAGAACTGGAGACGGCTCTGATCTTTGGGGATATACAGACAAAGAGAAGATTAAAAACAATTAATTCAGACATCGGGCAGGGAAAACAATATTGTGCGTAAAAATGCGATACCATTGCCACTTTGATTATATTCCCAGTAAGAGTTGATATCTGTCCGACAGCTGGCTTTATAAAGAACCAGATTTTAAGCATAAAAAATTAAAAACAAGAAGAATATAATTCATTTGTTCATCATTCATCAAACATGTTTAATATATTCAAGATATATACGAGTCTATGGTTAATTTATGGTATGCTCATTATGGAGTACTCGGGCTCTAGTGTAGGACTTTTATCATATTTTAATGGTAGAGGGGGTCAAACGACCAAACGGCTCACCGGATGTTATTACCACCGCCCATGAACACCTGCTACTTAAGAGTGATAAATGAGTAGCCACTTTTTGACTCCCTCCCTCCAGATTTAAGAGGAGAGGGGGAAGACTTTAATAAGGCGGTGGGTGGAGTTTTCTGACTCAAATTCTTTACACTATAGCGGAACAGCTGTGTAGACGAAGTGTGGACATTACCCATACAACACTATGTTACGTATACTTTTGTGTTTCTTGAGCCTGTACAATAAAATTTAAATAGTGAATCTTAGAAGTTGATGTATTACTATTAATTAACTAAAATTACTATACATATTGATTAACTTATATACCTACATCATCATCAACAGCCTTTAATAGTCTACTGCTGGATATAGCCCTCTTCCTTAAAATCCTACTCTTCTTAGAGTGGAGGTTTTGGCCTTCTATACCACGTTGGCCAGACGGGTTGGTATACTACATTACAGAATACCTTTATATAAAGCAGTGTTATTACCGATAGATTTTTAGCCTAACCGTATTCAAATCGATTCGATTCCATTTAGACATGCCCTACAAGGTTCTACATTCTTCTCCGCTCCATCAAACGTCTCGCCAAACACCATTGTGTAGTATCTAGTCGGGAAGCTTGTTTACAATTTTATTCATTTAACGAATATCTCGATAAATACTTTTTTATAAAATAGGGGCAAACTACATAAAAATATATATATTCTAATACTATTAAGCTAAAGAGTTTATTTGTTTGATTGGTTTAACGTGCTAATCTCAGGAAGTACTGGTGCGAATGGAAAAACAATTTATTGTTAGATGGCCCCATTTATTAGGTTAGGGTATAGACTATATAATATTATGCCACGACCAATAGGAGCCGAGTATCAATGAAGAATGTTGCTAAATTGAGGTAAATGTATTCCTTTTGAGAAACCCAGACGAAGGTGCGCGAGTCATGACATGACAATAACATGTTGCAAACTAGTAGCATCCATTGCTATGCAGATGATAGTACAGGAGATGCCCTTTATACCGGCCGAACGGCGCTTTTCGAGACACTTTTTGCCCCGCACAACCAATCTGTGGAACAGGTTATCGTCTGTGGTACTTCCGGACCGATACGACCTTCAAGAAAAGAGCGTACTCCTTCCTAAAAGGACGGCAACGGGTTTGTGACTCCTGAGTTGCAGTCACTTATATATAGTCACTTTAACACACTCTAACATAAAAAAAAAAGTATATTAAAAACTGTTACATTTAGATACACTCGTTGAGTGTTTACATTGACCAATCATGATACGGAAATCAATACAATAATAGTATAACTCACACTGGACGTGGACATAAAACTCTTTTCTTTATGGAACAGGGAGGAAACGAGCAGATGGGTCACCTGATGAAAGCGACTGGGCGGTAGTCGAACGCCTATAACTCAGAAGTCTCAAGCGCGTTGCCGGGCCTTGGTCGATATTCGACCAGCATGCGATCTAAAGTATTTATAACAGTGCAGCCACCTCCCTGACTACTCTCAACCTCCACAAAGCTGCCACGAGAATAGCACTACGTGTTCCCATTACCGAAGGTTTTAAATAAAAAAGCCCTCGCTGTTTTCTTAACAAAATAACTTTTTGTATAAAATTTTGCTTTTCGCAATATTTTGTTCGCTGACGTAAATTATATTGTGTTTGTTCAATGTTTTCCAAAGATGTTATTACGGGGAATGGGAAATTGTTTTTAACTAGAACTGAGGACTTACGAAAAAACGTCAGTTCCTAAAATTTTGTTGAGGCATGTGGTTCTGACGGATTAAGGATACGGAGTGTCACTATCCCTATTCATCCTGTGGGTGTGAAGCAAACTACGCAGGACAACAGCACTCTAAACAGAAGAAAACTTGAAACAAACTCTATTCCAACCCGTCTGGACAATGTGATATAGTAGGCCAAAACCTTCTTTCTAAGGAGAGGCCTATGTCCAGCAGTGGACTATTCAAGGCTGTTGATGATGATGATGATGTGAAACGGATAGCTTAGCAAGACAGGGACAGGTGCAGCAACGGGTGTCATGTCCCGCAATATAAAAGGGTTGGTATAGGGTTTGTTTCAAGTTTTCCTTCCCTTTGCTGCTGTTGTCCTGCGTAGTTTGCTCCCTTAGTCGGCTCTTACGACACCCACGAGATGAATAGGGGTAGTGACATTCGGTATTCTTAATCCGTCACCACACGGAATAAGGTTGGTGTTATCAAGTTATAAATATAGCAATCTACGTGAGAACTTTCCATATAACGATACAGGGTTAGTAATTTCTTCGTAGTTCGGTGTGTCTTCGTTAGATGGCGTTTATGCATGTATCTGATTTAATACAATGTATAAGTTGCCACAGATACTTAAAATGTCAGATGAGGAAGGAGAGCTGAGTAGTAACCCTTCTCATCAGGACAAAATAAAAAGATTAATTGGTGTATAAGTAACAAACTGTGGTTTGGTGTATTTATTAGCAACCAAACGAATCGATGTGTCACCTAATGGCTGATAATTACCATGGTCCGTTGATACCTGCAACTTAAGAGACACAAGAGCATTGCTACTCTTTCATTCCCCTCCCGCCAGAAACAAGGGAAAGGAGAGGGAACCCCACTAACCCAGTAAAAAAATTACTTAACACCAGTTTTTCGTCTGAATCTGGTACCACTCTGGTCTGGCCTGCCTAACATGTGCCGTAACATGATTCTTCCACGGCAGACTGTTCTTCAAAGATAGAAAAGTAACTTAAAACGAACGAAGCCTCTTGCAAAAACCAGTTTATAAGTCCACCACAATTGTAAGTTTATAGCCGTGATTACATAAAGGCTTAAAAGGAGGCTGTGTTTGCATTGGCCCTTTGTATTTTGTACTACGAACGTGCTAAACCCACCTCATTGTGTACTAACAAACATCCAACCGTTTGCTCTGACTAATGCAAACTGTACCATCGATCTCATAAGATGACAATATCCTTAGAACAGGGTAGATTCCTAGCTTTAAAATAAATTATTTCGGCTATGTCATTAAATGTATCATCTTAAATTACAGCCTGAACTGCACTCCATTTTAAATTTAATGTTTTCATTGATTTTATATTTTGAAATCAACTTTAAATATAAATGATTGGACAATAGCTAGGTATGACGTCACAAAATAGTATTTCATGCAAAAACTTGTCAGGTACGAGTCGAACTCGTGCGCTGAGGGTTCCGTACCTACCCAGACGTACGTAGATTTTCGCAAAAATCGAAATTTGCCTATATCTTTTTATCGTGTTGACTCAGGATCCTGAATTTTATACACCTAATATGGACCATAGACTTCAGTATCTGGTATAAATCTCAACTTCCTAGGTCTACCCGTTCCTGAGAAAATCGGTGGTGAGACACGGACAGACGGACAGATGGACAAGAAAGTGAACTTATAAGGGTTTATGGGGCGTTTTTACCTTTTGAGGCACGGAACCCTAAAAATGTACCTTGTCTAGCGTTCATACGTTTAAAAGAGCTACTGATTTGACGTGACAGTCCTCTAACCTACAGTGGGTAGAAAACTCTGGCGCTCAAAATAAATCTAATTTAAACATTAACTTTTGAAGTGAAAACTTCTTTAGCCGCGTTAAGCATTTTCGAACAACAAACGAAATAATATATTTTTGAGATGGGAAAAAAACCATTGAACTCCCGACACTGTTACCGTTACCGGCATCTCAATTTTTTTTTTATAAAATACACTCCCGCACAAGGAATATATCCTATGTCGCGGGGGATTTTACAAACATACATGAAACGGACACAAAGAACACCCAAACTCAGAACAACAATTTGTGGATCACTCAAAGTGTCGTCCCATGTAGGGTTTGGACCCACAACACTCGTTGCAGTAAGCGGCGTGGCGACCGCTTACCCACAACGTCATCCGTGCAGTCATCAGTCACACTCTTTTTATATAAGTATCTACATATATTGGCCCCGTTTACACGACAGTTGAGGTTGGGTTGAAATACATTGATAATATAACTCTTCTCTTCTCTGTCGTGTCGCTCTTGGCAGAGCGGTCGTGGTCACATTGAGACGTCCACGCCGGCGGCAGAAGTGGACACAGCCCTCCGTATAATCGCCCGCCATCTCTCCCTGTCGACAGATTGTCGGATACAATCGGTCACGCAGCCTCCCACCGCGGATCTCACCTGGTCGGTCCAGCGCATAGGTGCCCTGCCGCGGCATCTGGTACCAGTCGCTCTATGGAGTCGCTATGCCGCCTAGAGACATGGCCAAAATATTGCAGTATGCGCAACTGTACCATGGTTGACAGACGCTGCACCACATCTCTAGAGCGTCAATCTTTTTCTTTTCCAACTCACGGACTGTCCACGTCTCCGCGGCGTACAGAAAAATGGGGAATATATAACTATATTTAATATAAACATTTATTGTGTATATATTTGTACAATATAGATATATTTATGTCGGAACTTGTCGAATCCAAAAAATATTGAAGTTTTCACTTCTGTCGACGCTCCCGGAGTCCACTCCCACAACTGTCCGTTGAACAGATTCAGTATATCAAAGTCATAGACAAAGGAATTACACCATCTGCCTACCCCTTTAGGGATATATAATATTTCGGACATCTGACGCACAACGCCCTCTAGTTTCAAACTAAGCAGAGCATGA